TGCTACACACCACATTACTTCAACCAGATTGACTGGTTTTTACCTGCATGGGGAAGTGCCACCATCCTTCTTGCAAAAACATTAATATTCTGAATTCATCCACATGTGAAGAGTTTGGAAAACGTGCTACTGTAAGTTGCATGTCACATGAACCAGGCCCTCCACAGCCTCCCCAGACCCCAGAGACTCCCCACCACCAGGTCAGTCCATGCGCACTGGCAACGGGCCCGCGTGCCTTGCCTACTCTTTTGCACCCCTGGACTCTGTGCACGCAGTGGTCGGAGCCAGCTGCCTTGGGTGGGAGGGAAGCCACGGGGCCATCAAACCCTGGGGCACGAGCTCCTGCAATATTCTGTGTGTTACCTAGCTGAGCAATAGCAGAATTAAGTCACGAGTGACAGAGATCAGATCTACTACATGACTGCAAAAGGCCGGCCAGAGGGGCTGTAAGTCTACCTAAAAAGCCACATTTTCCTACAAATCCCAGATCTCACAACCCACTCGAGCCTACAGGGACAGTCCCTGGTCTGCACTGACCACGTGAGGGTCCGTTCCTGAAGAAAGTCACTCATTTTCAGGACTTTGTTCCCCCTTTCCTGGACCTACCCTTGGCTCCTGGGTTCCCCTGTTGAAGTCCTGTGGCTCCAGCTGAACTATTGTGTCCTGTGGATCTAAACGATCGCTCCTCTCGTATGTCTTATGGATTTAAACCACAGCTGAGGATGTTTCATTCAGTACTCCACAAATACTCACTGAACACTGGATGTTCAGAGATGAAAGGACTTGGTTCCCACCCCTCACGGAGCTTCCAGTACATGGGGAAGAAAGAGAGATATGCAAACCTGTGGTTACAATGCCCCTAGTCAGGGTCGTAACAGACCCACACACCGAGGAGAGTGCGTCCAAAGTCAGGGAAAGTTGCAGGAGGAGGCAGCAGCTGAGTGGAGAGAGGTGGCCGTGATGAGTTCATTCTCAATGGCGAGAACAAATAAGTGGAGCATGGTTGGAACCATGATGTCCAGCATGGTAGCTCCCCGCCACATGTGGCTGCTACGCCCTGGAATGTAGCCAGTCCAAAATTTGCTGGAGTGCTATGAATGTCAAATACAGACGGGCTTTCAAAGACTTAGTATGAAAAAAGCATGTAAAAGTGTATTAATAATTCTGAGTATTGATTACTGCTGGGGCCCAGCCTCAGCAGAGTTCAGTCAGTCCCACAGAGGCTGGCTGTTCTCTGGCATCCAATCGGGTGTCTGACTCTTCACTCGCCTGCACCGTCCATCCTTCAGGGACCCCAAACCCTGCCAAGGCTGGACCCCGGCAAGGTTGCTGGCCGGCTCCAGACAGACTACATGTTGAAATGATACTATTTTGGATGGTATTGGGGTAAACAAAACATTAAAATTAATTTCTGTTTCTTTTTACTTTTTAAAGTGTGGCTACTAGAAAATGTTCACTTATATATGTGGTAAATATTAAATTTCTTTGAGTAGTTTTGGGTACAGCATAAAATTCTAGGTTGCAAGTGCCAAAAAATAAATTATACTTATTGCTACAAATAATAAAATAAAGGGGCTAGGTACACAGCAGGAGCCAGATCGCTCAGGCCTTAGACATCACACAGGGAGTCACCAGCATCCTGGGCAGGGAAGGGAAGGAGATGTCAGGTGTTTCCTTTGGAAAGTCACTCCGGCAGTGGAATGGAAGAGAGACCAGAACAAGGAGAAAAAGCAGAGGCAGAAGAACCCCTGCAGGCAAAAGCGAACCAGCCAAGAGTGACCGGCCTGCCTCCAGCCCCCTGCAGCCGCTCTGAGCCCTCCCTGTGACACCAGTCCCCAGGTGTGGTGAAGCCTATGGACCCTCGCTCAGATCTCACACACAGGAAATAAAATACCCACGACTGTGAAGATGAGCAATGACCAAAATACAGGCATCGCTTAGAAATACGTGATACGGCGACATGGGTGCATCTTTACTGACATTCTAAAGAAAATGGAGCAAGAGTCTAATGACCACTACAACGATGAAGTAATCACTACAATGAGGAAGCCATCACTACAATGAGGAAATGATCGCTGCAACGATGAAGCACCACGGACACGGGCATTTCGAGCGACAGCCACCAGGAGGCACAGCAGCACCTGTGCTTCCATCACAGGCGGAGCCGCGGGGACTGCTGGTACGACTGTGGCTTGTTGCCTACCTTTACACTCAAAGAAAATGCTAAATATTAGTGAGTGGTTAGTGAAAATAAAACGCACTTTTCTTCCTACCCAAGTCACAGAGCACCTTCAGTTCTCTCTGTGGACCCTGAGGGGTCAAGGGTCCTCAGGAACCCCTGTAAGATATGCCTGGGCTTTCCTCACCAGTAAATGTAAGTCCCTCCAAAATGGGAATGTGGGGGGTGTGTGCGGAGAGCCGGACACTGTTTTACTTCTAGGATCTGTTTGCTGCCGTGGCCGCACCCGCAGCGGCACGCTCAGTGGCCAGCGAGCACAGTGGCCTGTGCTTTAGTGGAAGCCTGCGGGGTTTCTCTGAGTTCCGATCAGAAGCCATGTCTTTTTCTCAGGAGACAAGGATCCTGACCACAGGAACAGGCCCAGGAGACCCAGAGGGAAGACTGTGAAGGGCTGTTCTTTAGTTCTCAGTCACTCAAAGGAATTTAGTTTTTAAAAAAAACAGCAAGAAGACATGTTATATGGTCACACTTACATAAACTGTCTATCGCAGTGGTCCCTAGTGTCTGGGGCAGGTGGAACAGGAGAGTGATTTTGCTACTGTCGGTAGTTAAATAGTTATTAACAAGAAAGAGAGCAAAGGAAATCAGACAGTGAGCTCAATGAAGTGGGGACCATGAGCCTGTTTGCTCCACCACGAAGCTGCAGCTTCACACCCCACAGGGCGACCTCAGCACTGCTCCTCCCAGAGGCCTGTCAGCCTAACTAGGAGGTGGACCCATCAAAAAGCCCATGAAAGCTTGGGAAGTTGACTAGTTATTTTGAAAACAAAAAAACAACAGAGAAGCACTCTCTCCCTCTCCTGCTGTAACCTGCAATCGCCCCATGCATTCACACGTCCTCTCTCCATAGCCACCTGGCCTTAGCAGCCGTGGGGCCGATGGCCGCATGGACTCCACACCCAGGCTCCAGGTGGGAGCCCGAGTACCTCAGCACTGCGTCCGACTGCGGCTGGGAACACCGGCTACACTAGCGGGACGCTGCTCTGGATTAAGCCTTAATATGGCACATGACCTCTGGATACCGACTCCATTTCTGGCCCTGATTTTCCATGACAAGATGGACAGAGATGGAACACAAGAAGGGCATTCATTCACTTATTGGAGGGGCACTCTTTTGACTTTGCTTCCTCAGTAAATCTTACCACCAGACTTCATCCTCTTTTGTGGGTCCCTAAAATGCTTTCTCTCGCAAAATAGCAAGAACCCCACTTCCACCAGCAGCAATTTAATGGTGTGGCATTTCAGATCTGCCAGGTGAAGAAGTTCTGGAGCGGTTCCACAACAGTGCGACTACAACCAACACTGCTGAACTGGACACTTAAGAATGGTCAAGGTTGTACCTTTCATGCTGTGGATTTTTATCACAATAAAAAATGGTTAAAATTGCAAACCACACAAACAGGACACTCAGATCCCAGTTCAACTCCTGTCATTCCTGAGGGGACAGAGCTGCTCAGCCCTGCACATACAGTTTCTTTAGGCATAAAAACACATAAAACAATGCTTTTTAGAATGAAGGCCTGAGTGTTTTTTAAATATTCTTTTATATAACAACAGAGCTCATCTTCACAATTCTGTACACTGATTTATACAGACTAAGACTAATAATAATAGCAAACAATCACACTAGTTATGGGCTCGCACTAGTCTAAGCGCTTCATAACACCGACTTATTGTTTCACTCAACCCTAACTATCCGGCGGCACGGGTCCTATTTTTATCTCCACTTTATAGATAAGGACGCCCTGCCACGGAGAACGAGTAAACGGCAAAGTCAGAGTCAAAACAGGCAATTCCAGCAGTGGCAGGCACCAGGATTTTTATCTCTAAGCTCCAGCACCTGAGAATCCTACTGACTCATACACACTGGGCGAGTCCTTCAGCAACCATTTATTGAGTAATCAATTACAACAGAATTGTGGGACATTTTTACCATATCGCAGGAGAAGGAAGATCTTGCTGTCTGCTTGCCTCTACCATTTTTTTTAAAGCTTGGTAAGAAGCAAGTTTACAGTACGGATTACTGCGGATGGGTGAGGGAGGGGCTGCTGTCACAGCAGGAGGAGGAACAATGGGGGGGGGGCACTGTGACCCTGAGCTCCCCAACTGCCTCCCTCTACTCACCTTTGAAAAAACCACTAGAGCAATTCTTCTAACTCCCCAGCATGTGGACTGGGGGTCACAGCCAGAGAGCAGCCCACACTGCCACTGGTTGTCCTCCGTACCCAGGAGGGCAGGGAAAGATGCAAGTAAGAGACGAGAGGCCTTTTTGTGGACCAACAGTGAACTTTGGGAACTGGTCTAAAATTAGTGGGGAGGAAAATTGAGGAAGGCTGCAAAAGTCACCAAAGAAAATCACAGGGGGACATGAAAGGGGTTGGGGTGAGGAGTCACTCTTCATGGCTCAGTAACCACCTGCTGCCAACTCAGGAAGAAGCAGCTGCATTTCTGAACACAACAGGCTGCTGGCCCCACCAGGTCCCTGGCTGGGGCGCGTGAGAGAGGTGACCAGTCAATGTTTCTCTTCCTCTCTTTCTCCCTCCCTTCCCCTCTGTCTAAAAATAAATAAATGAAATCTTACAAAAATAATAAGACAAGAAATAAACAGAGCAGGCTGAGACTCAGCTCCAGGCCACAGAGCCATTCTCACCCAGGCGTAACCAAGGCTGTGCTCCCAGCAGCGCCCTGAGGACTCTCGTGGGAAAGGCCAAGGGCTTAGGCTACGCACGGCCGGGGTGGGGGGGAGGCGGTCAGGACTCACCTGTAGGTGTATGGCCCCACTTCTTCTAACCGAGGGATCTCCCCTCTGAGGATCTCCTCTGGGTTGGTGACATTGAAGAAATAGAATTGGGAGTACACAGGCAGAGGGGGCTTCTTCCAGGAGTCAAAGGTCTTGGAACCATTCCTTAGCACAATATTCTGGGGGAGAAGACCAAAAGGAGATTGACAAAGTGGAAGGCTGCTGGCTTTGAACACAGGGGCAGAGGGAGGGGCACTCCCTCCTCTGACCTCCTGACTTGCTTATTGTTCTCACTGGCATTCAGTGCAGTCGCTGGCGCTGGCGAGGAGGGCCACGCCATCTGCCAGTGTGAAGCTCACAGCTGTTAAAATATAAAAGGTCTTCATAAGTGCTTGTGGTGAAGGAAGGATGCTGGAGCCATAGCTCATGGGTCCTTAGAAACACGGTGTTATTAAGGCCATGGGTTTTTTCAACAGCTATAGCAGTTTATTTATAATTGAACTCTTCATAAAAGATATTTATAAGACAACCAATTTTATACATTGGAAATGGCATCGAAGTATGAATTACAACACAGACAACAATATGAAATGAGGCTAAAACAAAGCTAAAGTGGAGAGACAAGCAATTTCTCTTTTCAATTAATTAACACTAGCTTAAACTTTGTTAAAGAAAGTACCCAGCCCTGGCTGGTGTAGCTCAGTGGATTGAGTGCCAGCTGCAAACCAAAGAGTCACTAGTTTGATTCCCAGTCAGGGCAACATGTCTAGGTTGCAGGCCAGGTCCCCAGTACAGGGCACACAAGAGGCAACCACACATTGATATTTCTCTCCCTCTCTTTCTCCTTCTCTTCCCCTCTCTCTAAAAATGAATAAATAAAAATCATTAAAAAATAAAATAAAATAAATAATAACAACAACAACAAAAGAGAAACTACCCAAAAGGTTCCGTTGGCTTTGTCACAGAGGTTCTACGATCCTAAGCTACTACAGAAGATGGGGCCATTCTGAGATGCACCATGCACTTTCGGTTTGCCCACGGAGGACAAGAACAGTGAAGGAGGCCCAGGAAAGCCAGCTTTATTTAATTCTTCTGTTTGAGGGAGAACCACACCCATTCCTACATATCCACCACCAGCATCTTTAATTACATTTCCTCATTCCATCCCCAACAAACCCATAACACAGAGATGCTTACCCCTGTCTTACAGATGAGGAAGCTGAGCCTGAGTTGAGGTAAAGTTCGCAGGGTGTTCTTTGTCTACAATCCTTCGTTTTCCAATCTTACCATGTGTTAAAAGCTGAATCATGTGCCCTCCCCCACCACTGCACACACCAAACTTCTTCTAATGATGTCCTAACCTCAGAATGTGAGTGTATTTGGAAATAAAGACTTTAAAGAGAAATGTGAGGTTAAGTGAGGTCGGGACTGTAATCCAATATGATTAATGTCCTTAAAAGTAAAGGATATCAGAGCAAATAAACAAAAAGGAAAGAGCATGTGAAGACACAAGAAGAAGTCGGCTGTCTACAAGCCAAAGACAGAGAGGCCTCAGAAGAAATCAACCTTGCTGACACCTCGATCTTACACTTCTAGCAACCAGAACTATAACCCAATAAACGTGGTTGTTCAGTCCACCCAGTCTGTGCTGTTTGTTGAGACAGGCCGAGCAAACCCAAACTAATACACCCTGCCCCTACCTTTTCATCTTACTGACGTCAGGCTTGGCCAAGAGACTTGATTTAATCAACAGAATGTCAGTGAAATGCAATGCCCCGATTTTAAGCGAAGGCCTTCAGCAGCATGGCAAGTTTCCACCAGCCACCCTCTGCCAAAGAAGAGTGTGCCCCAGGTCACTGCTGTCCCTCCAGCCAAGGCCCTAAAATGGTGACATGTGGACCAGACATGAAGCCTAAACTCCAGCCTAGTTCAGCTGATCCAGCCAGGCTCCAATGGCAGCCAGCGCACACACCAAACTATGAACTAAATGTCACTGTTACAATCCACTGAGTTTAGGGGGTTGTTAGTCAGCATTACAGTAGAAGCCTAATTAATACCTTGCCCAAGGTTAATAGACAGAAACCTGATATCTAGCAGTCCTACTGGTCCTCGGCTTATTAATGGAGGAACACTACATTTTTACAGTACAAGTTATTGAAGTACACAAGAAAGAGAGGCACAGACTTCAGATAAACAAACCAGAGTATGAACAGTGATCAATTCCACATGTCGGAAATCCAGATCAGTGTTATTTGCTTCTTGATGGGATTTTTGTATTTCCCAAATTAGTATACTGAGTGAAAAAATTAACTCTGAGAAAATTATTAAAAAGGAAATGAAGAGAGGAAAATAGGATCTACTAACGCAGACAAGGAAACGCTGCCAGTGAAACAAGAGATTGCGAGAGATGCACCCCCTGACGTAACCTGCCATTCCTCCGGGAGGAGGGTCTGAGTGACAACAAACAGGAAGACTGGTTTCAAAACACGCCAGAAACCACATGCTAAAAGGTGCTGTGATGCAGCACATAACAGGATGGCGAATTTTAGCAGGCTGGGTCTCCAATTTAATAAGAGCCCTGCTGCCAGGAACCCTAATGCTATGGCTCTGCTATTGAACAGAAACTATGCCAAGAATCTCTGCAGGGAAAAGCAAAGTGGCCCCTAAACACGAGAATGCAGAAAACAGAAGCTCTCAAAGCAAAGCCGCTCATCTGGAGGGGCTGGGAGCAAACTCACGGCCAGGGGCTGGCTCAGCACTGGGGATTACCTGCAGTCTGGCATCAGTTGAGAAGGTCTATTCATCAGATTTTGATCCAAACAGCACATTATTAAAATGCTCATGGCCTTTACTATCAGAGCTGATTTGAGATCAGAGTGATGAGACCGAAAAGTTTCCAGATGAGCCCTGAAACCCCTCTCCTCCAGCCCCGGGCGACTCAGACTCTCTCCCTGGGGAAGCCCTCCCCACCCTGTCCCCTCACCCACTGCCTCTCCCTGCCCCAGGCACCCAGGGGCCACATCAGCCATTACAGGCAGTTTTTCTAAAAAAAGAGCTTCGTGGTCTTTTATCCTATTTCCTAAATAGTCTGGGCTATCTGAGGAGGAGCAAGGGAGCCAGTCAGGCGGAGAGTGAGTGAACTCGAGAACCGAGCCAAGACAGCCCTTGGTTGATGGGAGGTCATTCCGAGGCCCCTGGGGGAAGGTACAGATGGAGCAAAGGTCACACAGCAACTTCCCATCGGAGCCGGGTCTGGAACCCAGCGAGGCTTTTCTCTCCTCTCCTACCCGACCGCACAACATTTTGATAAAATGGGTATAAATACATCACACGTTTTCATTATACAAGTTACATATGGTAGAGTTTCTCTGCCATAAAGTATAGGTATAGGACCTAGAAGCAACTCAATAACATGAATTTAACCTTCCTGAAACTAACATGTTAACTCGGAGAAAGATAGCATGCAAATAATAACTTGTCTCCTAGAGGATTTTGAAGATCCATAGATATTTTAAGAGATGTCTGATTTCCTTAAAATAAGAACCTCTTTTTCTTATCTATAAATTTCCAGAAAAGGGTAGGGAAATAATTTTCCCTTCTCCATGAACTCCTTCAGTAGTTCCCTTCAACTGGATGGCTCTCTTCAACTATAACACATTATATATGGGAACTTCTTGGGGAAAAATGTCAAATAGAAAATATCTTCTCAAAATATAAGTTAACAGTAATCAACATGAAGCAGGTGACGCTAGCAACAGAAAAGGAAAAGGAAAGGACAGCTACTCGATATGGTAACATATTAGATTAGCTGTTGGCCTCTCAAAACAGAAGGCGCTGCCCTGGCCAGGTAGGTCAGTTGGCTGGAGCGTCGTCCCGATACACCAGGGTTGGTGGTTCAATCCCCAGTTGGGGCATGTACGGGAAGGAACCAATGAATGCATAAATAAGTGCAACAACAAAATTGATGTTTCTCTCTCTACCTAAATAAAATTTTTCCTATAAGCCCAAAAGGTGCTGACCTACAAATACAGAAGCATTTTTTTTTTCATTAATCCTCCCCACAGTGTCTAGAGCAATGCAGTTGCTGGGGAAATATCTGTTCAATTAACAGAATGCAGTAGAGAATACTTACACACTAGCTTCTGCTGACTTTGCTCAGAAGATGCTGGAAGAGAAAAACTTGACCTGAGACACTACGAGAGGAGCAGGAGAAAGCCACGAAGGGTCAAATGCAAAGCCACAGGGCCAGGCCTGGCAGCACAGCGGGACAGCTACACGCCGCAGGAGCCTTTAAAGTGTATCCAGAGGAAGCGACCGTTCACTGGCCATTTAAGTCACACTCAGACATGGCGAAAGCAATAGCTTCATTAGAATCACCGAAACACGTAGCTCTAACACCTATCAGTGTATGTATCTCATCGGTAATCCAGCACCCTCAAGAGCTAAGAATACCAGGTCCTTTTGTGGGTGGATAGAAAAATCTGTGTCCCTCCATGACCTCTTTTACTAACAACTGTTTAAAGGCATGCTATACCCATGGTTTTCTTGCAAAGTATAGAACTCTGGTGTAAATCATGAAAACACTGTAGGAGATACCCAGCAACATAGACATGGCTTCTGTGTTCCCGGAACTTGCCCTCTGTTTAAGGGAATATTAACACACACATGCAGGGTCATCAACAGTATAAAGCAGCAGGTGGTAAATGGCCAAGGACTCTAGTGGTCTCTGTAGTTTTCAGACAATGGACTCTCTAAATTGAGGTGGTGCTTGAGGCGAACCAGGAAGAATGAATAAACATTTGGCAAGTAAAAGGAGGTCATGGGGCGGGTGCCTGACAGACAACCAGGGTTGAATCAACTCTCCCATCTGGCTGGACAGGGTGAGCCCTTCCTCTTGCCTGCTCCACGGCTGTCTTTCCTGGAGCCCTCTGCTTAATCAGAAAGACAGTGGCTGTGGAAAAGGAGACAATCAAAGATACAGAGATGGATGGTATTCGGTGTGACTGTGAGTTTTACAGGGAGTAGGGAGTGTCATTTAGAGAGATGGGTTGAGGCGACCGGAGTCTAGACTTTATCTGATATAACCACGGGGAGCTGTGGAAGGTTTTTGAGCTGCAGAATATTATGAAGAGTTGGGCGCTGTGTTGTCACTTTATCTCAGCTAAACGCCCTGATGGTC